TTTATGGCAACTCTAAAACAGGCATAGGAATGCTTTATGAGTTGACAGCAGCCATGTGATGCCATGTTTTCCAACCACATTGTATAGAAATAGAAATTCCAATCCCAGTTAGTTTAGTTTACTTTATTGTCATTGCACCTCGTACAACAAAATTAAATACCATCTTCAGTGTGCATTATGACTGAAAATAAACACAAACACACATCCTTCATGTTCTATACATTGAATTGAAAAACCCTGATATTACATTAATATTGCAGTATACAGTAGAATTCAACAGAGTTACTGCCCTGGGATAGAAGCTGTTTTTCAGCCTATTTGTCCTTGTTTTATTATCCTGTACTCTCTGCCAGATGGTAATAGTTCAAAAAAGAGTGCTCAGGATGAGATGGATCTTTGAGAATTACCATTGTAATTCAAGGGCTATTTGTATTATCTAGCTGTATGAAGTCCGCACGTATTTATAATATTTGTAAATATTGGGCCTGATTTAAAATGTATCCTGCTGCAGCTATAATACTTCTATTTTGTTTTGTTGATTAATTGCCATTTTTTTTTCTTGAAGGTTTCGCAAGATGAACAAACGTCTAGTTCCTCGAAGACCTTTGAGTGCCTCTTTGGGTCAACTAAATGAAGTGGGCCTGCCAGCAGCAGCTATTATCTCAGATGAAGCAACAGTGGACTTACCCAGTAGAAAACCCTCTACCTTGCCAAATGGGATTGTTTCACCAGGCAGTACAGTGACACAACTTATCTCTCGTGGGACCGACTCCAGTTATGACTCAGTCATGAAACCTGGGAAGATGGACCACCACAGTAGCAGTGCCCCTGGATCACCTCCTGATTTGTATGCTTCTATATTGTTTATCTTTTAGAATTTGACAGTATAAATAAGCTTTGCAAAAGAGTAATAATCCACACATGTTTCCATATGCAAAAATTGTATTCTGGAAAAAAATGACATATATATAGCTTTGTGGACTGCTGGTGGGGGTGAGGGTCATTCCCTGCAAGTGGCTGGCAAATGTGCACACCACTCATGCAAATGGAGCGTGGGTGCCCCTTTGCCTGTCGTTTCTGTGGCCTGGTTGCAAAGAGCTCACAGCCCAGTAGTGGGCCGTGGCCGAGAGGTTGGGGACCCCTCGCCCTGTATTCAAAGTATAAGAGCTCCTTAAACTTGAATTTGTTTGCTGTTCATGTTGTTCATATCCTGCCAATAATGTGGAAGTAATTTGCAATCATTTTCTTTCAAAATACTGTTTTAAAACTTCCCAAATTGACCAACCACCATAATATTTCTTTGAAATTTTCCATCCAAGAATTGACTGTGCCAGCCTTCCTTAAGTTTCCAACTTAGTCACAGTCAAGGACTGCCGCTATTGAGATTTTCTGCTTACATTGAATAAGAAAGCAAACCGTAATTTTGTAAGGTTGCTACTGTAATAGTTAAGGTGCAAGGCTAGAAAGCAAGAAACCATGAGTTCAAATCCTACCTTAGCCATGAAAGCCAGCTGGGTGACCTTGAGCCAGTTCTCTCAGCCCAATCCACCTCACAGGGTTGTTTTAATGTTTCTTTTTAATATTTTTGAATATACATCAATATCATTGTATGAACAGTGAGGTGTCTGGGTATCATTCATTTAGGTACAAGTAATAATAGTAATATTAATGTTTGTTACTTTAATCATACGTAATTGTAACACATATTTATATTAGAGTGTGTTTCTTCATTATTTAGTTGTTCAATGTTTTAGTGTGTCATTCTAATAACAATCACAATATTATTTAAACATACATAGTGACACCATCTTTCAACATCTAATCTTTACATCTAGCTATTGCTTTTAGTATATTATATAAAAATATGTATAATAATATTCCCCCTTTATCTTGTTTCTACCTCTATTCTAGCTCTTAATAAAGCCAATCTTATATTAAAAAGCATTTCCTTTATAACATCATCTCTTGTCTGTTTTAGTATTTCGATTCTTATTCATTTTTTGACTTGCCTCCCACATTCCCCCCTTGGGTCTTTATCTCTATCTACCTTTTTCCTGTTTAATCCAAATATTTAATCCATTTCTACTATCTTTTGCTGCTGTACCTCCCAAGGATCTGCCCAAGCCCCTATCTTCTCTTCAAAAATATTTTTCTGTTTATCCAATATCATTTTTTAGTTTCTTAATATATATTTTTCCTGATTTAATTCATAAGTCTTCATTGTCTTCTCCTTTTCTTCTTTTATTTGTTGATTTATCTATTCTATCTTTTCCTCTGGTCTTTCTATTATCTCCTCTATTTCCTGTGCTTTATGATCTTTATTCATTGTCCCTTGTTGAACATTTTCTAATTCCCCATGTATGTCATGCATTAAGTCTTTTATCTCTTTGTGGTTCCTTGTCAACATATCATAAGTACTTTGGAACATCAACACCATTTCTCTTTGAAATTCACTCATCTCCCCCTGGTGCAACATCTTATTATTTTGATAGGTCCAAGTATTGCTCAATAGTCTTGTCAGTGTTCTATCATCGCCCCACAGTCTCAATTGTCTATGACCTCAGAAAGCCAGCTTAGAAACTGTTTACACAGTCCTAGCTTTGCTCCTCAGGGAATACAATAGATATAGTTCTTTATGTCCCACAGTTAGTCAGTTCCATTTAGATAGTCCAGGAAGATTCTCCTTAAGTCCACACTGTACGTTCAGTCATAGATCCTGGCATTTAAAAGTCGCTTTCTTTGGATGTCTTCCATAATGTCACATTATGTGGGGAAAAGAGGAGGAGAAATATGTGTTGGATATGTTTGCAACATTATTTGGTAAAAATAATAAAGGTGGAACATAATCAAATAAATAAAACGGAAAAGGGATTCTTATAAAAGCCATCTGATATTGGTCTAAATTAGAAAAAGTGCTTGGGGTTTCCTGCGATGTGAAACATAAGGATGGAGTGCTTAGATTAGTGGCAGAATATAACAGAAGAGCATGTGCTTGGAATCAGGTGATCCAAAGGTCATTTCCCAGATGTAGGGGTATGAGGAATCCTCTCTCAGATCATTGAAAACTGCTGCTTATCACTGTCAATCACCGTTAGCAATACTTGAGAGAGAAATCCTTCTAAATTTCCCACAAGTAAATGGGAGCACATAGCAACAATAAAACACTGCTGTATCTATACTAAGTTGTAATTGTTCCAACGTTGTGTTTGTGTCATCTAGGCTGGAACCTGTTTCCAAGAGCTCTCACCCAGTGCCCCCCCGAGGACCTACAGAGTTACCTCCAATTTCAGTAGGCAAGCAGCTCCAAATCGTTCCCCGAGGTTCCCAGTTGTACCCAGCTCAGCAAACTGATGTGTTCTATCCAGATCCTCGAGGAACAGCTCCCCCATTTGAACCTCCACCCTATCAAGCAGGTAAATCCCATCTGTATGAAATTTGGTCTTGAAATAAAATGTTGTTTTTTTTCCTTTTTTTTTAGTTTACTTTATTGTCATTGCACCCTGTACAACAAAATTAAACGCTATCTTCAGCATACATTATAACTATAAAAATAAAACACAAACACACATCCTTCACATTCTATACAATTAAATTGAAAACTCCTGATATTGCATTAATATTGCACTATACCAAGGGTCTTCAAACTTGGCAAGTTTAAGACTTGTGGGCTTCAACTCCCAGAATTCCTGAGCAAACATGACTGGAGAAGGAATTCTGGGAGTTGAAGTCCACAAGTCTTGAAGCTGTCAAGTTTGAAGACCCCTGCACTATACAGTAGTGGTTGCATAGAAAATATTGATTAAATCCTATCATCAGAATATGATGCTTTCTATTATCTTTTATGACAGATGTAGTTTGCAAAAATAAATGTATGTTCTCAGATGTGAATGGGGAAAAAAAATATGACATTTTGTTTCATACAAACTCTGATTCTCTGAAGTAGTTAAAACAGTGGACTAAATATTATTCTAAATCTCGTTTCATATACTTAGGTGTATATTATCCTCCAGCTCAATCACTACAGTGCATGTCTCGATTTGTCCGACCTCCATCATCTATTCCTGAACCTGGTCCTCCTTTTGTAGAACAACATTATGCACCCTATCTCCAAGATCGCATCATGAACTCGCAATACAGCACACAGCCACAGCAATACCCTCCAATGAGTCAACCTGTATATCCCCCCCATTATGACAGCAGACGTGTGTATCCTGCTGCTCAGCCATACCAACGGGAAGATATTATCCGAGGAAGTCCTGTTCCAATTGAAATTTCTCCACCTGCTGTATCATCATATGTACCTGAAACAAGAGACAGATATCAACAAGTGGAGGGTTACTATCCGGTTGGACCACATATGAATCAGATTAGACCTTCATATCATAGAGTATGTTACATTTTTAATTTAATGATCATGGTAATAGCAATGCATCATTTTTAGTTTTAATTCTTGCAACAATTGTGTGCTCTCTCATTTTATGGGTAGATAGTTTCATTAAGGTCCCTAAACTAATCAAGCCTGTTAACTCAGGGCAATGTATATTCTGAGTTTAGATTTAAAAATCTATCAAAATACAATATTGCAAGAACAGCCAAGTTGTGCACATATCTCAAATGAAATTTAAATTTATTTTTGTTTTTTATAATTAATTTTGCTTCTGAAAGGAATGAGGGAGGTTTAAGGCATTGAAAACCTATAATTGATTGTTGTAAATCATGAAATGGGACAGAATTGCATTTCTTCCCCATCAAATTCCAGAACAACTCCAGTTTGCAGGAAGACCACAGGAAGATAGTATTTCTGGTGTGTAGCAAAGAATCAGGACAACTATAGAGTGGTTGGCATATGTTGTTTCGGTATATTCCAGAGTTTAGAGAGGCAAAATAACTGGGTATCTCTTAAGAGGCCAATGTGGGTTTTAAATATCTGGATAGCCAATAAATGGCAGGATAAATTGCAGCCCAGGTTACTGTGTTCCAATGTCTACAGACAATGAACTGCTAACTTCTGTGGTCTCCTACCTTCTTCAAAGCCACGGTGAGCAGATTATAAACATCTACAGCATTTTATATTATTCATACGTATGCTTCTGATCGTATAAGTGTTAATGAAACAAGATTGCTTCTTATATATGTGGCTTTGGTGCAGGGGTAGGATTCAGATTTCTTAACAACTGGTTCTGTGGGCGTGGCCTAATTTGTAGGTATGGCTTGGTGGTCATGTGACTGGGTAGGCCTGGCTTGACTGGGCATGGTTTAGTGATCGTGTCACTGGGTGGGCGTGGCTTGTATGTAAATATTGTAAATATTTATGTAAATACTGATTTTTTTTTAATAAAAAAAGAGCAACTTACCCAAAATCAGGCAAAGCAGGCAGGCAGATTGAGTTGCTTGCAGAATCACAGATTCACTCACAGATCTACCATTCTGCAATCTGCTGCCTGAGTCTGCACTGAAAAGTAGAAGCTTCAGTCCTAAGGAAGGTTCAGCTCTGCTCTCAGGCCACTTCTCCCCCCACCCTACCCGCTGAATACCACCCCTGACTCAGGGAAGGCTCCTGGGCAAAGGCAAAGCAGTACAACAGACATTTTGATTAGCTAGAAAACAAGAAATTCAATGATTTCCTGCTTTCTAGCTAATATAAATCACCTGGCACAGCTGATAGTCGGAACAGTTGATTATCGGGGGGGGGGGGGAGGAAAAACTGCAACATAAAAAATTAGGCGAAGGCATAACACAGGCAAGTTGGATGGCGCACATGCGAGATAAGAAGTGATGGGGCGGGTGGAGAGGGGAAGGGCCAGCCAGTTGCGTGATTTGCCGGTTCTCTGAACTGCGCAGAATCGTAACAACCAGTTCTATAGAACCAGTCCAAACTGGTAGAATCCCACCCCTGCTTTGGTGATCTTCCTTTTGTTCACTAAGTATAATTAGGTACAGACTATAGTCAAAAGTTCATGGAAAACTAGTATCAGTGATTAGAAAGTACATTAATACATTTAGCATAATAACTAGCAGATTATTAGATTCCAAACCTGGAAATGTACACTGCTCAAAAAAATAAAGGGAACACTTAAACAACACAATGGAACTCCAAGTCAATCACACTTCTGTGAAATCAAACTGTCCACCTAGGTAGCAACACTGACTTACAATCAATTTCACATGCTGTTGTGCAAATGGAATAGACAACAAGTGGAAAGCATAGGCAGTTAGCAAGACATCCCCAATAAAGGAGTGGTTCTGCAGATGGTGACCACAGACCACTTCTCAGTTCCTATGCTTTCTGGCTGATGGTTTGGTCACTTTTGAATGCTGGTGGTGCTTTCACTCTAGTGGTAGCATGAGACGGAGTCTACAACCCACACAAGTGGCTCAGGTAGTGCAGCTCATCCAGGATGGCACATCAATGCGAGCTGTGGCAAGAAGGTTTGCTGTGTCTGTCAGCATAGTGTCCAGAGCATGGAGGCACTACCAGGAGACAGGCCAGTACATCAGGAGACGAGGAGGTTGTAGGAGGGCAACAACCCAGCATCAGGACCACTGCCTTTGCCTTTGTACAAGGAGGGACAAGAGGAGCACTGCCAGAGCCCTGCAAAATGACCTCCAGCGGGCCACAAATGTGCATGTGGCTTCTCAAACAGTCAGAAACAGACTCCATGAGTGTGGTATGAGGGCCCGACATCCACAGGTGGGGGTTGTGCTTACAGCCCAACACTGTGGAGAACGTTCTGCTGCCTGCAACATCCTCCAGCATGACCGGTTTGGCAGTGGGTCAGTAATGGTGTGGGGTGGCATTTCTTTAGGGGGCCGCACAGCCCTCCATGTGCTCGCCAGAGGTAGCCTGACTGCCATTAGGTACCGAGATGAGATCCTCAGACCCCTTGTGACCCCTTGTGCAGTTGGCCCTGGGTTCCTACTAATGCACGCCAATGCTAGACCTCATGTGGCTGGAGTGTGTCAGCAGTTCCTGCAAGATGAAGGCATTGATGCTATGGAGTGGCCCGCCCATTCCCCAGACCTGAATCCAATTGAGCACATCTGGGACATCAAGTCTCGCTCCATCCGCCAACGCCACGTTGCACCACAGACTGTCCAGGAGCTGGGGGAGGCTTTAGTCCAGGTGTGGGAGGAGATCCCTCAGGAGACCATCCGCCACCTCATCAGGAGCATGCCCAGGCGTTGTGGGGAGGTCATACAGGCACGTGGAGGCCACACACACACTACTGAGCCTCATTTTGACTTGTTTTAAGGACATTACATCAAAGTTGGATCAGCCTGTAGTGTTTTTTTCCACTTTAATTTTGAGTGTAACTCCAGATCCAGACCTCCATGGGTTGCTAAATTTGATTTACATTAATAATTTTTGTGTGATTTTATTGTCAGCACGTTCAACTATGTAATGAACAAAGTATTTAATAAGAATATTTCATTCTTTCAGATCTAGGATATCTTATTTTTGTATTCCCTTTATTTTTTTGAGCAGTGTATAATTTGGATTGTAATAGCTTTTCGTTCCTTCAGTCACCAAAAAGGTGGTTAATTTGCTATGTTTACATTTTTTTAAAAAAATCAAAACTTAAATATAAAATGTGATATTAAAATCTTACATTAATTTTGTAGAAATTTAAGGTAGCATTCCTAATTTTCTCTAAAATTCTGTTGAGCAGAATAGTTTTGCCCTTCGCCTTATGAAATTGATAATGCCTGAACAGAAATTAATTAATCTAAGAAGGGAGGATTACTGAGAAACTTATATTGTATTGAAATAATTTTGCTGCTTTGCTAGAGTATCTTACAACTTTGGGACTGTAGACTTAAGTTCATTTGTAGAATACAGGAATCTTCATATCTGTATGTTTTTTTAAACCTTCAGGAGCCGTATAGTCGGGCTCCCCCTCAGCCACATCCTAGTTTAGATGAATTGCATCGAAGGCGAAAGGAGATTATGGCTCAGCTGGAAGAAAGGAAGGTCATCTCCCCACCACCATTTGCATCATCGCCAACCCTGCCTCATTCTTTACATACTGATGAGGTAAGCATGTGTTTAAAACAATTTAGTAGAGAATATGACACGTGCTTTAAAAAAATATGGGAAATTTGTCCTAAAGAGAGAAATGTAAACAACCTGTTTGAAGAATATTGTGCCATGATGTAAGTCCCATCGTATCATGTAAAGGAAAGAGGCTGGTCTAGTCTATCCAGTTCACAATATCTGTGTATCTCATCAGATGGCCACAGTGAGAATATGAATAGTATCTCAGCTAGCATCCTTAGAATACCCCAATGATGAACTCATGCTTATTAAACTTAAATATATATAGTGCTAAGAAAATTTTGTGAAGTTTTTAGAAGAATCCATAATCCTGCAGACATAATGAGTAGAAATCACTGTGTTTATTGGAAAATATATATGAAGATCTAGATTAACCAACTATCTTAAGGGAAAAGTTGAATCAGGTGTTCCAATCACTGAGATGATAATTAGACACTGAGTTTGAGGGGTTCTTCCCATTAAAATATTGTTGGTGGGCACCATCAGTCTTCATTTCATGATCGATTGTTGTGGAAATGAATCATGTCCCATTCAAAACAGATTTCTGCAGACCTCAGAAAAAGAAGTATCAGTGTTCACAAACCTGGTAAGGGCTTCAAACCCAACTGCCAAAGACTTTGGACTCATCAGTTCAAACGAAAAAAGATAATGTAGAAATAAGGAGATTCTAACAAAAATCATAATCCTAATCATGAAATAAAGGCAATAAAATATATTTTGTTTAACCATAGTATCTCTTTCTTTAAATAGGATGTCAGGGTAGTGAATAGGATGTAGTATAGTGTGGTGTGTAGACCATTTTGAAGGTCACAGTACTCTAGAATTACAGATTCAAATAGTCCTTTGGTTACAACCCCTCATTCAGCAGCCATTCAAAGTTACAAATATGCTCAACAAGGGGAACTTACGACCTATCCAAGAAGTTGCCACCATCACAACGTCCCTATGATCACATAATTGTGATCTAGGCATCTTAATGACTGGTTCATGATTATGACTTTGCAATGAGATACAGTTGTATGATCACCATTTAGGAACTTCCTTGCCAGCTTCCCACAACTACTGTTAATGGGAAAGCTGGCAGGGAAGGTTGCATGTTGTTCAGGTAAGTCTCCTCTGCTGTTTTTCTCCTCATGGTGAAGAAAAATAGATTAGGAATTAGTTTTAAAAGTTTGAGAAATTCCAAACCTCATAGATTGTCTCAAATGTTTAATAAATGTTCTTACCTGTAATTAGTCTAGACAATTCCAAATGACAGCATAGTGCTTCCTTTCTTTTGCTGACATGAGTGGGCTTTGTTTTTATGCAGTATTTGGATGAAGACCTGAAGGTAGCAGGAAAATATAAAGGAAATGATTACAGCCAGTACTCTCCCTGGTCGTGTGACACTATTGGCTCCTACATTGGAACCAAAGATGCAAAACCCAAAGACATTGTGGCAGTGGGTCTTGTGGAGATGGTGGTAAGCATGCTGAAAAACACCAGTGAGATACTCTTAGTAATTGGTAAATTGCCAGATGACCTGTTTATAGAAAGATTTCCAATGAGATTCTCCAGATATTTGCAGCTGATATGGCAACAGCTGACAAGTTTAAGGATCAGTACTAACACTGTACAGGTCGTCCTCATTTAACAACACTAATTGGGACTGGAATCTCAAGCCATGAAAGGACATGATCATAAGTCAAAAAGTCATATGATTGCAACACTGGTGGTTGTAGTTCTGGCAGTCCCAGTTGCCATTGTTAAACAAGGATTGTGTGGCAAGGACCTCATATGACTGAGACTTCCAACTTCCTGCTGGCTGGCTTCCCCATTGACTTTGCTTGTTCCAGTCTTTCTCCTACTTGTCTGTCTGCAGCTGAGTTAGAATTTAGTTCTTCCCTCTCCCTGTTTATAATTTCATATATATAAAGTAAAATTGGGGAGAGAACTTTGAAGTATGGATAATTTTTTTCTCCAGCTGTGCTCCACTTATTTAAAGTTAATACATTATAAATTTTCCCCAAAGTCCAAAATGGTCTGGTAATATTGTATTTTTTTGAGAGAAAGGAATAATGTTCCATAGATAAAGCAATTATTTTATTGTATCTACTTCCAAATGCCTTTGCTTGATTTGTTCATTCATACTACTAAATATTTAGCCAGCAAAGAATAGTCTCAATGCTGTTAATATTATTTGCTTACACCTTTAAAAAATTACTGTTGTACAAGTTTCTTTCTCCAATCAGGCCCCTTCCCAACCATAATTGTGATATGGAAACATCTGAGAAATAGGTCAGCTAAAAAGGAGAAGCTTGCTTGTAATTCTGATAAGTTAATCTGTTACTCCAGAATGTGGACAGCAAGGGAATGCGAGATCAACGTTTGGATTTACAAAGGAGAGCAGCCGAGACTGGTGATGACGATCTTATTCCCTTTGGAGATAGGCCTACAGTATCAAGGTTTGGTGCCATCTCACGTACCTCCAAAGCAATGTACCAGAATCCAGGCCCCATGCAAGCCATGGCAGTTCAAGGGGCTTCTGCAAAACCAGTCAGTGTTTCAGGTAAAAAGCTTTATTTTCTTGATGTTTTCTTTTTGGGGGGCAGGGGGAGGTAGTAGTACCTTTGAATCAGTACTGTGGCTTGATTATGGAAACAGGTCTAGACATAGGTTGGCAAAATAAAAAGAAAGCTGAAATAATACTCCCCATGAATATAAGTAGTCCTGAACCTATAACAGATTGTTTGATGATTACTCAAAGCAATTCCGGCCATCCATGAAAGGTCAACTCTGCCCCCCCCCCAGTCACGTGACCCCTCCTTTCAATGGTGAAGCTGGCAGTGAAATTTGCAAGCGGAGGAGAAATACCTCAGCAGGCTTCAAGAATGGACCATAGATCTTTATTCCTTCAGTGCACTGAGGAATTTCCCGTCCTCACACAGATGAGAAGGGAAATTCCTTGGTGGGCTTCAAGAATAGACCTCAAATCTTGAAGGTTTGCTGTCTTCCTAGGGCTAGAAAGCTAGCAAACACTGTCATTCTGAAGGCCAGAAAGATTTCTAACCATCAGGACAATGGCACTTGCTAGTTTTCTACCCTAGGCCAGGAAGGGTAGAAAACACGATCATTCTTGCAGTCATTTGGAAGTTCTCTTCTCCAAATTGTGCATTTTGGAGAAGGAACCTTCCCATTATTGCAATAAGGGGGCCCACTTGCAGGATGCAAGAGGTGGCCTCAGAAGGATGGCTGTGCCTTTGGATTGGCTGGTTGTGCCTACAACTGCAGGAAAAGGTAAAAGTGGACCCAGGTATGGGGGGACGGAATCCCAAGACATTCCAGATGTGATGAGATAGGGAAAGTGCCCTCTCCCTGGCACTCCATTTAATGACCCCCCAAAAATCACTTTTAACAACCACAACTGGGAAAGCGAGAATTGTGATTGTTGAGTGAAGCGATCATGTGGGTATCTTGCTTAGTAACTGTTTTCACTCAATGACCAAGATTCTGGTCCCGGTTATGATTGTAAGCTGAGGACTATCTATGGACTTTAGATTTCTTCTCGTAGCTCTACTGTATGAACGCAGTTTATATATATTTAACTAAAATTAATGCTAGTACTCATAAACTGGTGGAAATCAACATAGAACAAGGTGTACAACAAGGTGATACAATATCACCTATCCTTTTCTCAGCCTGCCTTGAAGAAGTATTTCGCAAACTAAACTGGGCAAAAGATGGAATAAAAATCAGTGGCACCTATTTAAATCACTTAACACCTAGAAGAGCTACAAAGATATATACAAGAACTGCACAAAGCAGGAGAACCATTTGGCTTAAAAATAACCGCGAAAAAGAGCCAGGTGATGTTTAATAAATTCACCAAAGAAAGAAAAAAAGTTATATCTGGAGAAGAGCTAGATGTAGGAGACCACTACTTATACCTTGGTCAATGGATCTCAATGGAAGGTGATACAATAAAGGAAATTGAGTGGCATATTAAATGTGGTTGGCAGGCATTCAGCAAGCTAAGTGTAATTTTCAAGAACAACCTCCTATGCCTGAAGAGAAAAGTTTTCAATCAGTATGTGCTACCTGCTCTAACATTGTTCTGACCCAAGCCTCGTTCAAATCAAATAAACACAAAGTACATATGAAAGCAAACCTTTTTGATGCATCTCTGTGAATTTTGTTCATTCACAGCAAAGATTCATTAAAACTAATTGCCCCAAATAGGAGCAAGTTGTGAAAGGCTGCCAAGAACACAAGATTAATTGCAGGGAAATATCCAAAAACAAAAGTCTCTGAAAACAAACCAGAATAGACAAGACTTCCACAGGAACTTGGAGTTGAAAGAACTTCATTGCTTCCTGCAAAGAACCCAACCTCTGAGGGCTGGCTTTTATCCCTTATGGGAGGGGCCATCACCTTGCAGTCTTAGTCCCGAGTCTTTGGGTATAAGACAGATTTATGTTCTTTTTTATTCTTTTGATAGAAAAGGTTATTTTCAGATCATTCAAATTTTTAGTTTTCAATAGAATATTGAAAAGCTGGGGGTATTCTTTTATGGAGCTTACCAGAACAATCGTAGTAGGGATGGAGCCACTACTCCTACTACTGTAGGCTTACAAATAATGCACAAAACTTGCAGGATTCTTTTCCAAAGGAAATTTCGGCTGAGATCACCAGTTAAATTTCGAATTACATAGAGAAAAGATAAAAGTTAGAAACTAAAGATCATGTTGCTACCTTGTAATGTTGCTAAGGAAAATTGATGGAAAAGTCAGCCAAGATGGCTTAATTCCTCATAGAGTGGGCAGTAAAGTAGTCACAGATTGGGCCATGCAGCTTTAAGATATGCATGTTCAGATCTATTTGCTGTGAACTACAGCTGTTTAAGAAAGGAAGAAAATGTGACCTAAGGCTATTAAAATTGTGGCAAACATTAAAAAACCCTGTTTGTTTTACGTAGAATCAATATATATTAAAAAGAGTGATAATATGTATTAAAATAAATGGTGACTCATAGTGATCTGTTGTAAATGCGTTCTTTACAAGATTGCACAGAAGGTTGATTTGTAAATTGAGTTAATTACTAGGTTTCTATTACAATAATTGTAATGAATAATTTTTATATAGGATTTTTCTGTTCTGAATAGATTACAGCCCATATGGAACACACAGTGCATGGGGAAGTTCACCATACTCACCCCATCAAAATGTACCTTCTCAGGGACGGCTTGGTGACAGGTAGGAGATTTGAGCTTACACATGCTATATATGTTTTAAGTTTTCTCAATTAAACTGAGAAGCAACAACAACAACAACAAAACCTTTTTCCCCTTCCAAACAATTATTTATCCAAAAAGGGAGAGATTGTCTATGACAGACATTGCTAATCATGGGAAATCTTTGCCATCATCTGAGAGAGAACAGCAGCTTCGTCTTGAACTGCAGCAGTTAAACCATCAGATAAGTCAGCAGACACGAGGACTTGAGGTATGTATTCTTAGCTCTGTACTTTTCCTTAGAAAGAACTAGAGAAATGAAAAAGAGAGGGAGACAGAGCACTGTAAGTAGATTTTTATATTGCGTTCAAATAATGTCATAGAATTTCAGAATGAAAAAGTCAACTCACCACTATTCAGTCACTTTGAATGTGATTTTAAAATGTCAGTATTAAGGAAGAAATGGCTGGTACCATTGACTTCTGTATTCGTTTGCATATAATATTTGTTTTCCCTGTCCTCCCACACACATTCACAAACTTGAAATCCATAAATCTTATGTAATGGAAATCAGTATTATTGCTGTTTTACTTCTCTGTACTTTTATAGTGTTCTTTTCCCCCCTAAATAGCAGACAACATGATAGCTATACATAATTTATTGAGAACCTATGTAGAAAATTTATTTCTTGGGTTGAAAAATTAAATTTATGATAGCATAATGGACAGGAGTGTTGATTATCACCCAGAATATCTGTGTTTTTGCAAAAAGACAACATGAGGTGGCTTACGGTGAATTACTTTACTAATGTGCACCTTGAATTGTACCTGCAACATATCCATTATTGCTCAGGTTGCTGCATTCTGAACCAACTGTAGTTTCTGGGTGGTCTTCAAGGGCAGCCCTGTGTAGAATGCATTGCAGTCATTTACTTACGAAGTGTCTAGGTCACAAGTAACCACTGGAGATCTTCAATTCTTGTGTTGCTGTTGAAGGCAACACAAGTTCTGCTTAATTTGTGCATGCTGTGTTTGCTGGTGCTTAATGGAGGAATATTGGATGGCTTGAAAATATCCACATTGATAATCTCCTTTATTATCATTAAACCTTTTCTTTTTAAAATATATTTTAACTCATTATAAAAAAGGAGAGAGTAAAACATCAACAATATTACAACTATAATGTACTCATCAAAATTAATCTTATATATGCATTCATATCGTACAGAATAGAATACAATGAGCTGGAAGGGACCTTGGAGGTCTTCTAGTCCAATTCCCTGCTCAAGCAGGAGACCCTATACCATTTCAGATAACTGTCTTCTTAAAAACCTCCAGTGATGATGATTTCTGAAGGCCAGCTGTTCCACTGGTTAATTGTCCTCACTGTTAGGAAGTTTCTCCTTAATTTCAGGTTGCTTTTCTTTTGATTAATTTCCAGTCATTGTTTCTTGTCCTGCCCTCTGGTGCTTTGGAGAATAATTTGACCCCCTTTTCTTTGTGGTAGTCCCTCAAATATAGTTAAGCTGTTAAGTTTTTATCAATTTATTTGTTATAAGAGCATTAATTATTATATTTCCTATTTCTTAATCGCCCATCTTCCTCAATTAAACATATTGGCATGTCTAGGTTACTGCAATTGTTCTTTCTCTAAGAACTTTATGCTGTCATGCAAAGTCAAAGAAAGACATAAGCCCCAAGGCTTGTCTTCAGTTTCTTTCTCCTGTCATTTGTTATAATAGACTTTGTTTATCATTATGATTGGTTGATTAACCCTGACCTCTGTCTTGTCCATTGCAACCTATAAATAAAAAAAACTTGAATATAGGTATTCCTAAACTTACAACCATAATTGAGCCTGGTATTGTAGTCATAAGTCATGGCAGTTACTGTGTGAGTCACACACGACCATGACCGATTTTATAGCAGCAGTCATTAACTGAATCTGTTTTCCACAATGGACATTTTTTTGCTAAAAACTGGCGGGAAACCAAAAATTCTGGCCAGATGACTGCAAGACGCTGCAAATGGTATAAATGCAAACAGGTGGCCAAGTGCCCAAAATGCAATTAAGTGATCATGAGGGTGGCTTCAGAACTAAGTAGTTCTGAGGCAGTCTTGTCATAATTTTGAATGGTTGCTAAATGACCAGTCATTGAGCAAGGAGTACTATATGCAAGTCAGATTTCCTAACAGTAGTGTAATCAGGATTATCAACACTAAACATTTTGTTCAAATATAGAAAAGGATAAAAAAAATTAGCTCATTGTAGAGTTGATAGAAATACTATATTAGAGTATTGATATTTTTAATCATTAAAAAGTATATATTATCATCTTATTATCCCAACTATTGCAGTTCATTTTTATTAAGAATAAAATCAGTGAATTAATTAACAGTAACATATTAAAACAAAATGGTTTTCCCCTGGATTGAAGACTTCTTAATCATTTCCTCCCTATATTCTAGTATATTTAATGTGATGTACCAGTTTCTAACAATATTTATAAATATTTTAAAAATTAATCTGCATAGGTTCTCTACTAAAAGCATTACCTGGCTATTTTATTTTGGGATTCTCAATTTACTATGTTAATGGCATTTAAATTAGGATGATGTACACTAGTATAATTTACTGTATAGTAATTATTATCCATTGGACGTGAATAGTATCTATGTATTAGATAGTACTATGCTGTCTGCCAGGTCAGATTTTCTAGACACAGACATTTTAAAATTATATATTATATCAGTTTCCCAATCTTTCTGGCTTTGCAGACTGGCTGGGGGTGGGGGTGTAGAGAGGATGGTTCTGCACGAGCGGCCGTACTACATGCACAGCTCCATTTGCGTGAATGGCATGTACGTGCGTATGCCGCTCACACAAATGGAGCGCGCATGCACATGCTCACCCGCTGCTCAAGCAAGTCAGGATGCATGTGCACTTGGTTGCCTTTTCTACAGCCCAGTTGCAAATAGCTCATGGCCCAATAGTGGGCCACAGCCCGGCAGTTGGGTACCCCATATTATAATTATTTATGTAAAACCTTCAGTGCTAACAGGATTTTAAAAACAAAATATTTAAACTATTTTTCATTTATATAGTGATACTATATAGGTTGTCTTCATACCACTCATTTCTCAACCATTTGAACTTAAAATGGCATTGAACAAATGGTAGTTATAACTATAACTCGTACTATAAGTATGAGTTATAGTTATAACTACCACTTGGTCAGTGTCATTTGTCGCAATGCCCCTTCAATCATATGATTATGATCTGGGTGCTCAGGGCAGGCTTGGATTATGATGTTGCAGCATCCCCCAGTTATTTGTTCACAATTTGTGATCTTTCTTCCCAGTTTCTTTTCTTTTCAAGATTTATTAGGTTTTTATTTTTAAATAAACATCAATATCACTACATGAACAGTGTGGCCTCTTGGTATAATTCATTTTGATACAAACATCAATAATGATATTCATAAGTGGTTGTTATGTTAATCTAATTTATGTAATCCTAGTATTAATATACATGTTTTTTAAAAGTAGTTATTCAATATTATATTCCATTTTAATGCCAATGATAAGCATACATGATAAAACCATCTTTCAACCTCTAATATTTCTATCAGATGATTACTTATATTCTATTGTATAAAGATTATATCTGCTAATAATCTCCCTATTTCTTATTTCTAGCTCTATTCTAACTTCTAGTCAGGTCACCCTTGCTAATCCTAATATTAATACACATATTTACATAAGGCATAGCCCTTCATTATTTGGTTGTTTGAAGTCACAATATGCCATTCAAGTACCAGTCTTCCTATTATTTAAACATGCCTTATAATACCCTCTTTCAACGTCCAATCTTTCCAACTATTGATTCATATAAAGGTGTGTATTCTTATTTCTACCTCTATTCAAATTTTTAATCAGGCCTCTGCGCATTCCATTTTTTGCCTCCACGTGCCCCATTTTCTGCCCATTCTGATCCCCACTGCCCGGAACTGAAATGGGGCACGCAGAGGCCAAAAATGGGACATGCAAAGGCTGAAAGCAGGATATGGAGGCCAAAAATGAGGTGTGCGGAGGCAGCAATAGGCAATGGCAATCCGTACAGCTGGAAACAGCTGATTGTTGGGAGGCTGATCCAACCAACAATCAACTACATGTGCTAATTAGGCTGTGCATTGAAGCTGACCAGGCTATTTGCTGCAAGGAGGCAAATTGCTGGGAGGCAGAGGCAGATTATTTTTCCTGTTTTCCTCCCAAAAGCTAGGTGTGTCTTATACTTTGGAGCGTCTTATATCCAAAAAATATGGTTGGTTGGTAGGTAGGTAGGTAGATAGATAGATAGATAGATAGATAGATAGATAGATAGATAGATATTAATAATTCCGTTCTATCCATCATCTCTTTTCCATTTTAATATTTCAATTCTTATTCGTTTTTCTCCCATACTCCTCTCTTGGATCTTTATCTCTATCAACATCTGTATCTTCACCATTAAGACTGAATATTTCTCCCATCTCTTTCCTCCTAAGCTGTCAAGTCTCCAGAGTGTCCACCCAAACCCCTATCTTCCTGACAGAAATATCTGTGATGACCCGTAGTCTCTCAAAACCCAAAACATACATTAAAGTCCGTAAGGCTTAACTTCACTTAACTTCACTTCAACTTAACTTCACTGTTTTATTAGGCACAGTTTAAAGTCACAAAAGTAAATAATGAGGCAAAAAGAAAACCAAACAAACCGCATTGACGAGAGTTCCGAAGCAAGCCAAGATAACTAATCATAAACTCCAGGAAAATAATTGAGGAGAGTCCATGGGAAGAACACCAGCAAAGATAAACCTCTTTCAAGGTGAACACTAAATTGATTCCTGCAAATTCTAACTGCGCAGTTCCAAACTTATACACATAGCTCCCACCTGCAAGCCACGAGGAGGATCATGGTAATCTCCTCTTGAGTAGACCTCGCTTTTCCCTGATCCTCTCCTCCCTGGGTGACCTAGGATGGATAGGGGATGGGCCTGGATCCTCCTCTGACTGCTCAGCCGGCCTCTGCCCTTCCCCAGCTTCCTCCACCACCTCTGGAGCCACACTCCCACTCCCTGTTGGCCGTTCCTCCTCTTCCTCAGAGTCAGTCTCCACCAGGGGCGTGACAATATCTTCCAGGTTATCCAATTCCCTTTTTAAATCTCTTAAAGCGCTTTACTCTTAGTTTATTTCATCAGCCATTATTGTCTTTGTCACCTTCTCCTTCCCA